TGCCTTTTTATATGGTTTACAATTTCTATCTCTAAGTTCTCAATAAGGAGGCTGTTGTAGTTTATTCTTCTAATATGTTACAAATGCTTTCTGTACCGTTTTTCAGACTTCCTTTGAGGTAGTACTCAAATTAAGAGTAGTGTTTTCTTTAAAAGTCTAGTGCATCCAGCAATTACTTTGATTTTTGGAAATGAACTAGATTCTAGAGAAGAGTATAGTGATATTCATTAAAGGAAAAAAGATCCTGAGACAATGGTTTATGTTCATAGCTTTTTAAAAGTTTTTGAATGCTTTGATACTTTAAAGTCTCTTCCCACTTTTGTTAGTGGTAGTAATACCTATTGATCAAAAATGACCTTGCACCTTCAGCTCTAATTAAAGGAAATAGGAGAACTTGAAGAGTAGTTTGAATAGAGTTAAGCTAGTGATTTGTTATCAGAAATGGAAAATTGATACAGCAGGATCAAACTTGGTCAGTCAGTGGTGGGCTTTGTTCAGTTACAGTCTTGCGGAAAATATTAACCATTTTCTCGTGTCCTGGGTATCGCATCCAGTAGTGGGTTAGGCTGCTTGTTAGAAACATTTCAGGACCTTATCCTGAACAATCCATAGTCTGAACAACCGAGTGCATTTCGGTTGAAAGAGACAGCTGGAAACAAACCTGAAGAGACTTGCAAATGATAGTCAGGCAAGTCTAAAAAATTCTGCAGTCACTAATAACAGGTGGCAGCAAATGTTTCAAAAGATACTTAGATGTTCTATGCTTATCTATTTCTTCTTAATACCTTTTTTTCTGAGATGATACTGAATCTATGGGGTACATGAGGTGAGGGTAAGAAATTTCCTCTTAACCTCTCTGAAAGAGTTTAGTAGTATTGTAATAAGCCGTATTGTAGCTTAAGTACCATGTCTCTTAATTTCAGTGAAGCTGAGCGTGAGCGAAGGAACTAAAGCCAGTGTCAGGCACCATGCTTTTTCTAAAGAGCGGTCACATTTCCAACCCCTTTTTGTTATGCCTTTTCCCTTCCCCTGGCTCTTCTGCTACTGATTGCTGGTCTGCCCACCACTTTTCTTTTCTGAAAGGTGAAGAGGAGGGAGTGGTTGGGAAGGCGAGGGTTGAAGTTGAGAGCATCCTGTTTACCTTGACTGTTGGTGATGCACGCACTCTGATACCTAAAATTTTCATGCTGTTGCAGAAGGGCCACCTGATAGGTTCTCAGTCTGCAGCTTTCCAGAGCCCTTTCTGCTCACTGTAAATCTCTTGCCAAAGCAACCTTTTCTCCATAGACTGGGAACTTCAGTATGTTGTCTAAAGTTCAGAGTTCTGACTCTGGTTGTTGGAGTTTAGTGCTTGCTATCTTATAGCTATTTAGTGCCAAGTTTTATGCACAAGATACTGTCCAGTTCACTGTAGTGACCAATTTAGGGAGAAGTTGGTTAACACGGTCCTTTCTTACTTTACAGAAATTCATGCTGCTGAATGTGCCTGTATTTTTGTGGTGGTGTAGTCACTCAAAAAAGTTTAATCCCTGTGTCTTATTCCTGACATTCACAGGCTAGTTATGCAATTTTAGTACACGAGAGCAATGTAATTTAGGAACCTTGGTTGTATTGCACTGCTTTTGAGATAGCTGCCTCATTTAAAAAAAATTCTAGTATCTTCATGCTCTTTAAGAAAAGAAAAGAAGTCTATTTTTTGCTACTCCTAAAGTACTCTGAGAGCTGGATTAATCTTTTGTTTGTACGTTTTTGGCTACTCACACGAATGCATGATTGTTGTTACTGCGGCTGCTTTTTCGAGGATGAGTGCTTTTGTCATCAGTATCAATACTCAACAGTTGTAAAATAGCAGCAGTCTTTAGGGGTAGTTTCATTGATAGATGGGTATTTTTTAAGATAACCCATGTTTGTTTAATGAGATCTGTAGAAACCTGTAAGCTCAAAGTGGATCACTGTGACTGCACACAAGGTTAATTTTTTTTGTTAAGTTAATATTCTGGTTGAAAGAAAACTGAACGTATCTTTACAAATATTTCTTGTAACGTGTGCTGTCTTATATTCTTGATCCTATTTTCTTTGTGATAGGAGATGGCTGCTGTTGCCCCTTGAAAAACCTCCTATTGCTGGAAAGTGTAATTATGGAAGAGATCATATTCTCATATTTCAATGTGTGTTGGGTGGATGTAATACGTATTTCTCTCTCACCTGACTCTATAAGAACAGTTGAGGCAGTGGAAAGAATGGAGGAGGAAAGATATGAGGAATAACGCAGTGGGGCTGACAGTTGTGATAGTAGGTGGGAAGCAGTCAAGTGTGTTTAGTGAGTATGTATGTTTTGTTTCTTTTAAGGATCTGTCATTATCTCACTTTGTCCTTTTCTTGCTCCTCTTACTAAACAGAAACTGTAAAAACGCCAGCTCTAATTTAATGTTGATGCATTATACATATTCATATGAGGCAATTTTAACCATGACCAGTTCAGGTTTGGACACTGTTGGTTTGGTCTTGCAGTTCAGGGCACAGAGAGTTGTGTTTGCTTTCACCATGAGAGCTGAAGGTGTTTAATGCCAAGAATCTGTCTCCAGTTTGGCAGGAGCAGGGTGCTCAGCTTCAGTGCTCTTTTGAATTCCCTTTTGTACATTTTAAATGCACTTTCATTTCCTTTCCTTATGTATAGTCCTACGAGAAAACTTTATAGTGGGCTTTTGAAAGAAAAATTTAAAGAGACTGCAGGTAAGACTTTACAAGAGTGAATTAACGGATGCAGTATAAATGAAAAAGTTGGAAATATGAAATAGTGTGTGTCTATTGGTTGATCTATAGCTGGCATCCCGAGAGGAAAGGCGAACGTTTTTTCTTCTTCTGGAGTTTGCTGTGAGCCTGCTGTGTTGTCATCAGGGGTGCAATCTTAGAGGAACAATGTAAGCCCAAAATATTGCCTGGATAATTGAGTTAGTCCTTTGCTAATGTCTGCACCACCTCCCACCGTCCCTAGGTAAATAAACAAAATTTCTGTTTCCCTAAATTTCACACTTACATAGCTTATCCATTTCTGTTTTCTTCCTGTCCTTTGTTTTTAGTGTAAATAACTCTTTTTTGCTCTCTTAGAAGTAGCAGTCATGCTGCCCTCTCAGACCAAGCTGTGATAGGTGAAGAAGGCAGGAGAGACAGAGTTCTTTTCATTCAGGCTCTGTATTCTCCTAGTTGCGGGCATTCTTCTTTGTGCTTGGTCCCCTTTCGTGCCATCTCTCTTTAATGTGTGGAACTGGAGTTGAATATCATTTCAGAAGGTATTTCTCCAAGAGTGGACTCTGACTATTGGATTTGACCCTTGAGGCCTTCTGGATTAATAAATATCTGATTAGTGCTATGTTAAATATTGCTAATATTTGTAAATTTGTGCTTTCATGTCCCTGGATAGAAGGCCCTCTCAGCAGGGAATTGTGCGTTACTACTTCATAGTGATTATGAATTCTGATGTATTGTGAATGCAGTAAAGCTCTTAATATTCACAGAAAGTGACATGTGAGTCTTAATACAGGGGTGGTGCTTTTCTTCTTTGTAATGTTCATTTGATTAAATAGGTAGGCAAAGCTGAGGATGAGTTGAATTTTTAAAGTACAGTAAACACCAAGCATTACAGCTCCTTAGTTTTTTGCTTTTTTACTGGCAAACTGGCATTTAGTTTATTTTATTATTAAGGGAAGAGTTGGTAGTGATTCACTTCAGCTTTGAAGTGTGTTCCTTGCTTTAGATTTGGAATGATTTGTAAAGTTGTTTTTGTCAGCAACTGAAAAGTTAAATGCAAGAACTGACTTCTTATATCACCATAATGCATATGCAAGTAGTCAAATTGCATATTTAATTACAGGGTTAGTTTACTGCCCATCCTCTTGTTTTCCAATGTTTTTGTGTGGGTTTTTTTTTTTTTTTAACCATCTAATTTCTTGTGTGTGTGTGTGCAGATGTGTGTATAGTGAATTGTGAATGTGAATTTCTGGCCCAAATATCTATGATATAAATTAATTTTCAGAGACCTAGAAGTAGCCCATGGATCTTCTGAGGTCTTCAGTTCACCGACTGAAAACTGGAAAACACTGGCCTATCTCAAAAAGGAAAAGGGGTGGGGGAACCCAACCTGTATGACATTAACTGAATTTTGGGGATTTAATTGTTTTTGATTTCTGAGCCAGGGCAGTATAATTAGATAGGGCATTCCAAGCCCCAGCTCTATTACTTGCAGAGAATTTATGTTCAGAGCTGCTTAAGCTATGGACCTCAAATATCAAATGCATCATGCACAAATAAATCAACTGGTAAAGATGCACTAATACTTTTTTATTTTTTTGATTAAATATCTATCTCAATATAGAGAATAAACAGTATTCTGAATGAAATACTGGTTAGCTACCTTTTATTTTTTTTAAACAACGTAGGATGAAACCTGGCTAGTATTTATTCTATACAGTTGATGGGTTAGCAAACACTGAATTGAATGCTTGGTATGTTTTCTTTCAATTGCAATACAAGCCTACACAAACATCTCATTGCATTCGGAGTGGGACCTGAGGCACTAGGAAGTTAGCTTGATTAGAATAAATCATTTAAGCGGCATAATTTATGCTTGAGAGCAAGAAAGTTTGATTTAAAATACTTGGTAGTTTTTGTACTTTTTGTATTTCTCCTAAGAAGCCTGGTCCATTCTGGTAACCATTAAGTTATATATATTTTCAATGGAAAAATAACCTGTATTCTCACCTTGATATTGTTCTTTTAACTGAAAGGGCATATTGGGTATGTGGTTTAGCAACTGTGTAATCAAATATAGCCATTTATTCAGATTCTTACAAAGCATAAATGTGAAAGTATGGTTTTAGAAAATAGTAAGGGGTACTTTCTAGATTCTTTTCTGTTGTTGAATCTGCTTCTAGATGGAAAATGGAATTTTAATATTAAATTTTAAGCTTGTTTTCTGTGAGATGGAAGTGAAGTAGTTGGATCAAACACATTGCCATGTCCTTTAGTAGCATAGAGCCAATTGTGTTAAACTCCTGCACCTCATGTTCGTTATAGATTACAAGGAAAATCAGGCTCTGTCACTTTTCAGCTTCTGGGTGGCTTCTTAACTTTCAAGAAGTGAAGAAAGCTGAGCGGACAGAAATGAGGGGGGGAAAAAAACCTAGGTGAATTCAGAAGAGACCTCGGGTCTCAGGTGTTTTGGTGGCCAAGTGGTCCTAGGGAAGGAGGAAAAAAATCATTCCAGTTACTTTCTTTAGTTAGGGAACAAAGCCTAACAATTAACAAACAAACAAACAATTAACCCTTTAAGTGACCAGTTCACATAGGCAGTTTAAAACTAGGGTCATGAGCTTTTACTTTGTAAAATTTTGTTCAATACTCTTGTAGTTGTGGTAAAGCTTATGTATCAATTGAAAGTTTCTAACTGTCTGTTTTAGAAGGGCCCTTACTTGCTGTCCACTAAATGAGTATTTTATTTTATTTTATTTGGGCTAGCGTTTCAAAAAAGTACTTAGAACAAACAGACTTAAACTAGGGGAATATTTCAGAATGGAAAATGTGATAGAGTTCTAAAGCTTTAGGTACAGTTCTTTTCCAGTGTCCTTGTCTTTTCACTTTTGTCTTGCTTAGCTGCACGACTCTGGTTTTGTGAATGTATTTTGCAGGCAAAAGATTCCTGATGCCAGTAGACAGTACCTATGACACAAAACTGCAATAATTCAAGATCCTGTGGAGAAGTCGATAACCTGCCTGAGGCTTATGGAGTTAAACCTTCTAGCAAAGCACTTCCTTCAATAGGGAACAGTGAAATCTCTCTCTCTGAGAAGGAAAAAAAAGAGATCTTGTAATATGTAAAAACAAAATGGATATTGACACTTACTTCCTCTAGGAAGTCACAGTGGCTTTCCAGTCCCTTCATAAAAAGTAAGTATGTTCTGATGATTTAGGTGCTTTATGAAGATCTAGTAATATCCTTTTTTCCTCCTTAAGTGAAACTAACTTAAGTTTTGGAATGGTGGTTATGGAGAACTTCAGATGAGATTGGACTGTAATTGGATGGAAACCTGAGTAATTGAGAAGCTTATGCCAGTTTTAAGAGCCAAGCTGTTAACCTACATCTTACTGGACTAGACGTGCACACTTCTTTATGGCATGCAGGCAGATCTCCAAGAGAAACACTGGTGACATTAGCTTATCTCAACAGTAATGTGCATTTTGTGCTGCCTAATCAGAATACTTAGCCAGGAGAACCCCACTTTTCTAGTGGTAAAGTCAGCTAATATACAAATAAATGAAGATTCTTTATTCTAAGTGCCATATTTTAAAACAGCATATAATGAGCTTTGAGAGCCAGCATTCTTCCTCCATGTTTCTATCTTTTTTTTATCCAGTAGAATGGATGAAAGACATCGTGGCAGAGCTAAAGCCTTTGAAGAATCTCCCAATGCCTGATTTGGTAGACTTGCCTAGATTTGGGAAAGGAGGGGATTAGTCTCTGTGTTGGACTTGCTCTAACTGTTTTTGTTTTTGTTTTTTTTAAACTATGTTATTAGGCTGGTTTTATTTCCAGATTTGATAGTATGATGTATTTTAATTGGGTTAAACTGTCAATATTAATGGGACTTTACTACAATTTCATCTGGAAGATCTTAATGATGGATTTCCTGAATGGATGGATCATCTACATTACTTTAGACTTAAGCACATACAAGTAAGGTTAGATGACTTGGATATGTGTGCTTGTTTCTCTTTCCTTCAGAACTGTGGAGTATATGTTTATTTGCCAGCAGCTTACTCTGCTTTGGCAGTCACGTGTAGTTGAGAGACAAAAGATGGATAAATATTTGTAAGCTCTCAATGCATATCATGTTAGGATGGGTCTTGTACAGGTTATACTTACTTGGAAGTGTCCTTGGCCACTTGAGAAATGACTTCTTGGAAGAAGAACTGTTCTTGATGTGGATCCGTCTTTTGCTCATATGCTCTGTTTCTGTATTACCCTTTGTAAGCTGTCCTTTGGCCCTACAATTATCTTGCTTAGAGAGTGTTTAGAGAAATCTCCTTATATATTCTGCCTTTCACCACTGCATCAATTTACCAGTGGAGAAATCTATTTTATTCTTAGTTTTTTATGGGAGGAGAAAAAAGAGCCATTGCTGTAAGTGGGCCAGAAGGCAAGTGGCTTTCTTGGAAAAAGTGTTGTAAAAGAATATAGCACTCATTTCTGCTATTAATTTTAGACCGCTTAATATTCTCTGTGATGATCAATTGCATATTGGTTTCAAATAGTATCTTAGTCGTGTAACAGTGAGGCAAATACCCAGAAAACAGCAGCAAGTGGACCAGTTTGTAGGTCTTGTCTACTGCCAGGATTTTTATTTATTTTTTCGGGGATGACAAGAAATCAATAACTTAAATTTCCTCCACTGGAACTGGAAAAGCCTGACCTATCAGCAAGTTCATATGTGATCTCTGCAAATTGCTCAGCATGCCCATGATAGAGGTGCAGAACTGAAACGCAGCATGCCACACTTTGAAAATTAAATTTAAAGCAAAGAAAAACAAAAAAAACCCTGAACAAGAAGCATCAGAAAGCCTGCTGCTGTCATTCGTCTCGAGTGTGGCACTGATTTGCAGTAACGTCAGAGTAGTAGATAGTGATTCAAATTATAGCATGGTGCATTTATGCTCTCTAGATTTGATTTAGGAAGAGAGAAGCAACAGATTTGTAAGCATTTTACTTCGTCCTGGTGTTGAAAATGAGCGTTAGTAACTGGTATACAGACCTGCTTTATGAAGCTTAGCGTCTTGGTGCCATCTGCTGGTGCTAGTGTGTTCCCACAAATGGGAGAAATGTGTTATGAAGAGTCTCTACTCAGATGTGAGAATTTGAGAAGTTGTTGCCATAATATTAAAAAAAAAAAAAAAAAAAAAACTGCTGCCTTCCCATCCTTCCCATATGATTATGCAGATGAAATAAATCCATATATCCTTATATATATATATGTTATAACTTGAGGAAATGCTAAAGGAAATGTGTATCTTGAATCATATTTTCTTCTACTCAGTAAAAAAAACCCAGTTTCTAATAGTGATTTTTATTTAACAGTGCCTTGCAAACACAAAAGGAAGAATTTTGTTGCATTTTACAATATTTTTAAATTTTATTTGCCAAAATGAATTCTAACTATTGTATTCTGCTAATCCCAGCAAAACCTCCTCACTTCTAGTATGTTTCAGCTTACAGCTCCCCTTTTTTAAGTGACTGGTTTATTAAGTTTATCAAAAAAAATTCAAAGCTGGTAAAACTCACCCTACTTGAAACAAAAGAATTTGCCTGAGGCTAAAGCAACCACAAATAATTTGTTTTCTTTTTTCTCTCATCTCTTAAGCAAATGTCCCATATCTAACTGAGATTAGACAACTGAGGTAATACCCTCATTGTTCTCCTGAGTATTGTGTCGGCTTCAGACTGTGTTGACCTTATTACCAACTAAAGCAAGACTATATCTAGTTCTGTAGTTCTCTTGAAATTTGTTAGTATTTTAGACAAATTACTATTATGTAATTGAAAGACTTGCAGAAATGCAAGATGCTTAATATTAAACTTTCTGCTTTTTTTTTTTCTTTCTCTTTTCTTGTTATTCCGTTCTCTTTTGATCTGTTGTGGATAGCCAAGACATCATTCTTTTAAGTTTCTGAAAAATAAATTTCTATGTGGAACAGATTCTGTTTGTTCAGAAGTTAACAGCTTAAACCTTTTTATTGCAACTGATTACAAGAATAGGCTATTTGCATATTTCTATTAAACTAGTTGATGAGGCACAAATTCTGTGCTTTGTTTCTTCATACCTGTGACCTAATGCTCACAGTGCGCATTAGATCTTCCGTTTAACTGGCTAAATATGCAGTGGAAATCACTGCGCGTCTTCCCCCTGCCCCCCCACAGTTTAATCCAGGTTGCTGTAGGTTTGTCTACTCAGTATCAATTGTGTGCAGCTACTAACAAAGATGTTCCAAGCTTATGCCCTACTTTGAAAATTGTCGTCCCTATATTAAGTTTTGGGTCTGACTGAAGTTCCATTCTTGCGATATTTTGTCATAGAGCCGTGACTCGCACTGTAATGCCACAGTCCTTGTGAGATGAAGTATACCTACTATTTCTATTATTGTTCTCTTTCTGCTTTCGCTTCTATATGATCTTAGTACCTTTCAGTAATGTATTAAGCAAAACCACTAGCATCTGCCACATGTGGCTTTTCTCTCAGGCCCTGTTCCTAGGTAGTGGACTATTGTTTCTGCTTTCTAATGAAATAACATTATTATAGGGGAAACATTAACATTATTTTAGGGGAAAAAAAGGTATGCTTATCTCTTTGAAATAGTAGCAGAAGTGCTTCTTAATGGTTTATAAATCTTTCAGGCATTCACTCTGGTTCTGGACTTGTACCTTCTAAGGCTGACTTCTGTTTTGCTTGTTTTGCTTTTTTTGCTTCACAAAACCATGTGGTGCGAATAGGAATTACAGTTTGATAATCTGTAAAGTCATCAAGAGCAACTGGGTTAGCAGTTTGGACAGTCCCTTAAATGAAATAAAAGCCATTTTAAAAATACTAACACTCCCTTGGGCCTTATGTAGCATGCAGGGTCAGTAGGTCTGCTGGCCCAGTTCCCAACAGAACAGTCTAGATACAAAAATGAGCTGTGTATCACTCTCTTTAGCTGTTACAGTGCCTTACTGTCTTCCTGCATCCAGACCAGGTATGGAAGTCATGTAGGACCAATTTGTTTGTTGGCTTTTTCCTTGCAAGTTCAGTACCACGTTCTCCCTCCAGCTCAACTGCAATGTTACTTATCCTCTCCAAGTAGCAATGAGGGAAGAAACATGACAATCCCCTTTGGAAACGTTTGTTACTGATAATTTTATGTTGTGGTGTGTTCTCAGAGTGCTCTGGTGATAAACCTGTGACAGTTTCCTCAACAGCAATGTATTTGGCTGTTCTGTTCTTCAAGTTTTGCTGCAGGACGAATTCTCTTGTGGCAGATGCCGTGATGGGTTCTTCTCCCATATACGTGAGGGGTTTTACATCCTCTGTGAGGACTTTCTTTGTGGGTCCCAACAAAAGGACATCAGATGAAACCCTGCTTTGCTTTCAGTTAACATTAAACTGTTCTCTGAATGCAGTCAAAGCAATTCACAGTGGAGTTGCTAAGAGATTATTTGCATTGCATTGAAGTTCTTGCCTAATACTGTCATAAATGTTTTATTGTACTGTAATATTTATCATTCCCTTAGCAACATAACAACAAAATCAGTAACTACAGACTATGCCTTGGATTTTTTGAGGAGGAAGATGTGAGCAGTAACACACGCTGAGGCGTGTGTTAGTGAGGAGTACCTTTACTTTGTCTATGTAACATCTTAGTATACACTCTGTGAAGTAACTTTATAAAAAATTGCCTTTTTTGTTAAGTGTCATGTTCACATGCAATTATCCTCTGTCTGGAAAGCAATGCAAAACAGTCATTTTTATAATTTTATGTTGGAAAATATCCAGAGATTCTGGAAATATTTCATTATTTCCTTGAAATATTTTTGGAAACTAACAAACAGAGGGCAAATTACTTTTAAATGTAACTTGAAAACTGTGAATAATATTCGCTTGGCTGTGGATCTCCAGTCCAAAATCTTTTACTTCTTCAGAGACCTATCACTAAATATTCCACAGGTTCTGGTTCAAGTTACTTTCACAAATGAGAGAAGAAAAAGTGAATGAATTCGTTCATTTTGCCACCACGTGGTGACAGGACTGCTTGAATTTTTGAGTTCCAGCTTCTTTTTTTGTCTTGAAATAATTTAGCTACTTTTAGATGAACTTAGTGAGCTAAGTTTTTCTATGTGGTGGATGATTTTTGAGGAATTTTGGATGTTAACTTTCAGACTGTTTTTCTGTCTTTTCAGGTCTCTGGATGGCAGACTCTGAAAAGAAATGCTGTTTTAAGAGGTATGCCTCATGCAGGCCAAAATATTCCTGACCAGTATATACACCAATGATAAGGCCATACCTTTAAGAAGACTTTTTGCTTATCCTCTTTCGGTGTGCCCACTTTAATAACAGTCTTCTGTGCTGATATCCCTCTAAAAGGTGAAAGCTTGTTCAGAAGCATTCAGACTTGTTTTGTTGGTGAGGTCTGTGAGGTGCTGCTTACCTTTTTGCATGATAATCTTAACAGAACGCAGCTTTAGTAGAAGAAGTATAACATGAAGAAAAAAAAACATGACTATCTGACAGTTGCAGACCCTCTGCTATCCTCTCCTGATTGTGTGTTGGGGGTGGGGGGAAGTGTTTTTTTTTTTTTTTTTTTTTTCCCCCTCCCCTTGGGAGACGAGTCCAGATGTCTTTAATTTTCTCCACTCGCTTTCCCTTGGTCTGATATGAAATCTTATCAGGCAGTAAAAGGCTGACACCGTTGTAGCAATGTGGTATAAAATACTAGAACCAAGATGGAAGAATACTAATCTTTATCCAAGTGATCATTTTTGATCGTTAGATGAATGTTTCGAACGTCCAATGTGGTGGGGTTTTTTTTGTTTGCTTAGTGTGATTTTTTTTCATGTTCCAGCATAAGGGACCACTTCTCTTTCCAGTCTGAATAATTCAGTGCTCCACAGCTGCTAGGAAAGGCAGTCTCCTAGAAATTGAATTGGCTTGCTCTTCCCTTATCTCTCTCAGCCATTTCAGGATTCACGAGGAGCAGGCTTTAGAAAAATAACCTTTCTTTCTCTTTCTCAGAGAAAGATAGGTCCCATCCAGTCTTTTCAGCACTCTTACTGTTTTGTTTTTTTTTTTTTCAAACAGAACCTTGTCATTCTTTTCAGGATTGATTCAGGTCTCTGAAATTTTAGGAGATTTTCTGTCTCTTTAAGGCACTCACAGTGCTGATTTTTGTTTTCTGTTTTGTTCAGGCTAACAAATAATTCCTAGCATAAAGTACTAACAATTAAAAGTGGCTCTTCAGCTATTGCCTGAAATGCTGGTGTCACTGCTTTTTGAACTGTATTTACAAAAGTTCTGTAGAAACTTTTATTAAAAATAAAGGAAGATCTTACTGCTATCTCCAAAACTATCATGGAAGAAGATCAAGAAGATGGATTCCCCAGACTGCTGGAGGTGCAGGCTGGCAGGATAAGAGGCAATGCACACCAGTTGCAACACAGGGGATATTCCCATGAGACTGGAGGGGTATTTTTTTCCCCTGGGGGTAGGCAAACCCTGGAACAGGTTGCCCAGAGAGGCTGCAGACGCTATTCTTGGAGGTTGAATGAAACAGCACTAGGCAAAGAGCAACTGAAGTCAGGTGGACCTATTTTGAGTATCATGTCGGATTAGATTCCTGTGGAGTTTCCTTCCAGCCTATATTACACTATGATTATATGTAGTCTACTTCGGGTTGACTTTTTGCATTTTACGTTTCCCATAAAGCAGGTGAGCTTATGGTCGATTTTAAGAACTATCTATAATTAAGAAGTCTTTTGTAATTGTGAAACTGCAGAGTTTGACAGAAGAGTAACTTCCTCCTATTCCAGCAATTCTCAGTTTATTTAGAATTGTCTGTTATAACAGGTTATTGTTTAAACAGGTAACTCTGTTTAGCAGAACTAATGAAGCCCTAGGCCCTGCAGATTTGTCTTGCTTTGCTTTCACTGACTTTTTTTTTTTTTTTTTTTAAGCTAAGTTGTAAGATATTTTTGTTCTCTGCTAATAGCTGCAGAGGTCTGATGGCAGTAAGGTTTGCTCCGTTCCACTGTGGAAAAATAGGTCATCAGGATCGGAAAAATGAAGTCACAAATGTTCAGATTCTGGTCTCTCCTCCTAAGTTGTCTGCTTTTATATAGTATAGTAATTTTCTTCGAGACTTTTTGCTTCTGAACTTGGCTGGAATCCTATGAAAGGTTCAGAACTCTTGAGCGTGCATCTTACCTTCAGCAAATGGCTGGTAATATTACTAAAAAAAAGGCAAACTGAAAGTGTCTCAGGTTAATGTAGAGGTTTGCTTCTCATGTTAGCTCAAGTGCAATTTAGTGCGTTTATAGATCAATTTTTATCAGTCTAACCAAGAAATCTCATTTGGAGCTACATTTTCTTTTTTATTTTTAACTATTTGTCTAGAAAACTTCAGCCTAGGTGACGCTTCGGAAAGGTAAACTTATATTCTCCTCTTACTAAAAGCTACAGCATGTGTCTTTAACCTGAATCTGATTCTGCCAGTTTTGTTTTTAGAGCCAACAGTTCTAAATGTTGTTGTTAATCTAGCTAGATTAACTGAGTTGATGTCGATGTGATTATGACCAGATACCAGTTTCTCCAAGTACTCAGTGAGCTGCTTGAGAGCAGTTAAAAGGTTAAAAGTTCAGTTTACTATCATTTGGTTAGGCCAGTGTTTGACATAGTCATATTTTGTTCCCAGCTTAAAAGCTCTGAACCACGTGATTTAGTTTTTGCCTTATAATTTTGAATAGATTGAACTGTAATTTGGCCGTTCCTATCTATTTGAAACAGATTATATAGCTGAATTTAAACTGAAAAGCAGGTAAAAGCCTCGGCACTAGTTTAATGGATTACTGAGCCAGTAGGGATAGGGTAACGTGTCAGTTCCATCTCTTATCTAACACAGGTCGAAGGACTGCCCTCAGTTAATTCTGATTTGAACTATTTAATAGTGGAATTTGAGTTCACAGGCCATAGGATAATTCCGACTGGAAGATGCCTCCAGAGGCATGTCTCTAATGCAACTTGCTGAAAGGAGGATCAGATATAAGGTCAGACCAGGTTGCTCAGGGTTTTATCCAGTTGTCTTAATGTTTTCATGTCTGTAAGGTAAATGCTTGCTTGTGCATGTGTATTCAGAGGCGGACGTTTTTGTTTCAAATTTAGTTAGATTTCTTATTTTGGAAAATTCTCTGGATTCACTCTCAGTTCCCTTTTCAACATAGCATTTGCTGATTGAGAGATGGGAGGATGAGATTTGCAGATGATAGCACATAGATTTCAGGTTTGAAAAATCTAATTTCCTTTTCTTTCTTTTTCTCTTTCCAAAGACTATAGGGCAGAAGATGCTAAAGGGGAAAGTTTGGATATATTCAGGAAAAAAGGAGTAGTTAAAGGAAGCTGGCTAATCTTGGTTCTTCATGGTGATTAACAACACGTATTAACTGCCTGTACAGAAAGTGTCGGTAGTCTGAGGCAAGGATGTTATTTTAGTTGGAACTGTTTGAAGAAATCCAGCTGCTGATAATCATGCTTTACCTCTCTTATTTATATTACTACATGTTAATATGTAGTTAACTTAAGCCTTTAAGATTGTTATTTAAATAACAAAAACTTTAACTTCTGTGGGGTAGTAAGCCATAGGGACAAGGGAATGTTGGAGCTCCTTCACACCAGATTTATTATTCAGATAGCCCAGTACCTCATTTGAGTTGATAGCTGTCAACATATGCCAGACAAAAACATGTGGGAAGTCCTGTGTTAGTCATCTACTCCCATGGAGATTTTCTTCCAAAATGCTGTGAACAGTTGCTTACCTTTATATTGTGTAGTACAACTGTTTATCCCTCTCATAAATATGCTAATAAGGAGGAAAAAGTAGTAGATGGCAGATATCTAATTCAGTTTGCAGTTATATTTTTTTTCAAATTTCCCCAGGAGTGATAACGGAATAAATATTTGATGCACTCGTAACTACTTTCAGAGTTTTTAATTTGTTGCTGCTCTTAATGATTTTGATCTCTTACGTGAGGTGGTAGTTTCAGTCCTTCCATTTCTTTTTTATATTGGTCAGTAGTTTTGTTGAATGATTGTTTTCTTTCCCTCTCTAAAGAAAATATCTCAGTTCAAGCAGATATTGGCTCAGAACTTCCTCTTTCAGCTACTACTTTAAAGGGAAAAGATAATAAACAAACAGTGCCTCAGGTGCTAAACCAGTGTTAATTTTGCACAGTATTCCTCTTGTAGAGACTCAGCACAGGTTCCCCTGCCCTAACAACCAGTTGGGAAGCAATCCAAGCTGTCTTCAAGGTCTGGGTCTGTAAATATGTCTTGTCTAACCAAACTGACATCTTTGTAATGTGCTTTTTTTCTCTGCTAGCTCCTGACCTCCATTTTAAGTAGTTATGAATGAATGAATGTTTTGGGGGGTTTTTTGTTTACTTTGTTTTTTTTTTTTTTTTGAAACTCTTTGTGGGTAAAGAACAACCCATAGACGAGACATGTTCAATTGTGCAAGATGCAGGGTAAGATGAAATCTCACACGGACAGATTACTTATAGGCCCTAAGAATTGTGTTGCTTATTGGAGATTGCTGTGCTGAAGCTTCCACGTTAGGGCCTCTGCATATGCAGGGAACAGTTTGTCCTCTTATTTAGGAGCCACAGTTAGCCATGCAGGCCAGCTGTTCCGGAGAATTCTCTTTCGGTAGCTTGTGTCGTCTTTTCAAACTGAAGTGACAAATGCCCTGGAAAAACTTGCCCCCGTCTGTTTATTCTTGCTGATAGGTTCCAGTGTCTGTTCTTCAGTGAGGTTTTGGCAGAGTTCTTGAAAGGTGTGTAAAATCTTCACCGGGCTGATTACCCTGAGTAAGCCTAATTGGGAATTCCTAGATGTGTATTTTTCCTTTAGCAAAGTAGTATATGATTTTTGTTTCTCATTCAGTCTGTGGAGTGGTCTTCTAGATGTGTGTGTTATCTTTGCTATCCTCTGTTTATCTGGCAAAATTTACTTTAATCTGGGAATTTTTACCTTCTTCATTCTGTAATTTATTCATAGCTCTAACAAAATCTTGTACCATCTGAGCTGCTTTTATTTGTGCAGTTTTTTTTCTAGTGCTACACCATGTGATGCCTCTTTTGGCAGTGCTTGTCTCTACTGTAGTGGGGAAAAATTATGAAATGTTTTCTAGAGAAGAAATGATTTCTTTGCTTCAGTTTTCACTGTAATATCTTTGGCTCTTCATCCTCACTAATATTTGGATTCAGTCCATGGTGATCCTGAGTACCTTTTGCTGAATTCCTGTCTAGGCAAGTAACTAGAGTTGTATCTGATATCGGCCCTGTATGTCTGCCTCTTTAGGTATCCTTTTGGCTTGATTTCTCTTTTACCTGTCAGGAATTATGTTTTCCATTATTTTCCAAAGGGCTGGCTTTCTATTTGACTAGTAATTGGAATACATTTCCTGAATGTTTCTCAGGAAAGGCGATAAATAGCTTTTCCCCTTGCGCAGAAATGGTAGTAGTTCATGGTGCTTTAACTGGAGACCTCATGGACTAACTTGAAACTGTTAAATATGTGGCTATTCTCAATTGGTTAGAAACAAAACTATAAAATAGAGTTTATAAAAGTAATCCAGTTCCCCAGTGCAGATTCTGACCTGTCTTGTGTGCTGCACATACAAGCTGTGCTTTCATTCTTCTCTAACAGCTAAGTTACTAGCATAATTATGAAATTTCAAATGCTGTAAAATAAGTTCAGGTTTTATATCTCTTACTTCTTAACCCTGAGGAACAGAAATCTTCAATTATTGTTTTGCATCAGACAATGCAGATCTTAGAGCTTGGTTAGGAAAATGCTTTTCCGTAGATTATGATAGAATATAATGTACTCTGTTCAGTGCTGGTAACAATCAGACTAGTTTGAAAGTCAGACTACCTTTTGTGGTATTTTTATGTGAAATTTGGGTAAAATGTTTCACAATTCAAATTCTGAAATGTATTCCAAAACAAACTCAATTAAACCTAGTCAAGTCACTCTAATGGAGAACAGTATAATCTAGTGACAACTGAAGTTTGGGAACCAAATGTAATAGGTTATAAGCCCGTTTAGCCTGCTCTTATAGTTAACTCTAATGCTGTCCATTTATACTAACTGTAAATTCTTTTTTTTCAATATATTTTGAAAGATAAAATATCTATATATTTAACGGTAGCAGTCTATTTGTTAACGCATGGGTTTTGCAGGCTGCTTTGTCTGACGGCAATGGTGGACGTTGCAAATAAGATTTTTTTTTCATTTTCAATTTCTGATTTTCTTGCTTTTAATGGTGTTTATGGCATCCTTTGCTCTGAGGAGAAAAAAAGCTTCCTAGTTCACATTTCTTCGTACAACAAATTGTAGCTCTGCCAATGAGTTTTATTTTGTAATGTTTCCTTTACTTGACTTAATTTTAAAATAGAAAATGCTTTCAGACAGTTTATTTTTTGGCTCCTTTATGCAGCTTCTAAATTATGCTTTAACCATAATGGCATGAGACAAACACTTGAAGTGTGATTAGACTGACTCGGTCAAATCAGATTCACTTCTGATTTCTCAATTCTCAAATTCCATTAAGGAGCTCCCCCAGTCCCCTTCTCCCCCTCGATTTAGATGAATAGGAGTATTTCACCTTAAATCTAAGACCCTTGATCAGTAAGTGCACTGTATTAATAGCATACTAGAAAGCCATGAAACTCTGATTTGTAAAATAATGTAGATTTTACATTATTTCACTGTTTACCTCTGTGAAAGCCTTTAGAAGTTAGTATTAAGAACATTAAGCTATACCCTTAAGGTGATTTCTAATCACTCATTTATTCCAAAACTACTTTTACTTGATTACTACAGCTGTGTTACTGTATAATGTCTTTTTTTTCTACAGACACCAAAGATGCTAACGAGGAAGATTAAGCTTTGGGACATTAACGCCCATATAACTTGTCGTCTGTGCAATGGATACCTGATTGATGCTACCACTGTAACAGAATGCTTACATACTTGTAAGTAGGAGTAAAATCACCTTAAAGAATTTTTATTTGCTTTGCAACATGTTTTAGCAGTGTTAACTGAAGTTCAAAATTATATAGTGCATCAGCCAAAATAATGCATGCTTTGCTGCACTTATTTTCTTATGAAGCAAATGAGAACGTTGAACGTGTACTGCACAGACTTGAAGACCTATTTAATAGGTGGTAATGTATGTATTCAGGAATGCAGTCTGTCTTCCTTCTGATGGAATCTAGTATGCCTGGTTTTCTCTTCTGTGGCAGTTGATACAGTGTATATTCTCCACCAGCAGTCTGACAAATGTTTCCTGTGTCTATGCAGAAAGCAGCTATAGTTGATAAAGAATAACTTTTTTAAATACATCAGTAACAAAAGGAAGACTGTGGAAAATGTGGGCCCACTGCTGAATGGGGCAGGGGCCCTGGTGACAGAGGATAGACAACAGGCAGAGATACTGAATGCCTTCTTCCCCTCAGTCTTTACTGCTCAGACTGGTCCACAGGAATCCCAGGCCCCAGAGACTAGGGAGAAAGTCTGGAGAAAGGAAGACTTTCCCTTGTTGGAGGAGGATCCGGTTAGGGATCACTTTAGCAAACTGGACATACACGAGTCCATGGGCCCTGATGGGATGCACCCGCAAGTGCAGAGGGAGCTGGCAGATGTCATTGCAAGGCCTCCCTCCATCATCTGGGAAAGGTCATGGCCATGAGGAGAAGTGCCTGAGGACCGGAAGAAAGCAAATATCACTCCAGCCTTCAAAAAAGGGCCACAAGGAGGACCCAGGGAACTACAGGCCAGTCAGCCTCCCCTCAGTCCTTGCAGAGGTGATGGAACAGCTCGCCCTGGAGGCCATCTGTAAGCATATGAAGGACCAGAAGGTGATGAGGAGTAGTCAGCATGGCTTCAGTAAAGGGAAATCATGCTTAACCAACCTGGTAGCCTTCTCCGATGACTGACTGGCTGGGTAGATGAGGGGAGAGCAGTGGCTGTTTTCTCCCTGGCCTTCACAAAGCTTTTGACACTGTCCCCCCTAACATCCTCATAGACCAGCTGATGAGGAAGTGCGGGCTAGATGAGTGGACAGTGAAGTGGATGGAGAAGTGGCTGAATGGCAGAGCTCCGAGGGTTGTGATCAATGGTGCAAAGCCTAGTTGGAGGCCTGTAGCTAGTGGTGTCCCCCAGGGCTCAGTCTTGGGTCCCATCCTGTTCAGCTTATTCCTCAGTGATCTGGATGAAGGGGCAGAGTGCACCCTCAGCAAGTTTGCTGATGCTACTAAACTGGGAGAAGTGGCTGAGACACCAGAGGGCTGCGCTGCCGTTCAGAGAGACCTCTCTCTCAAATTGGAGAGATGGGCAGGGAGGAACCTCTTGACGTTCAGTAAAGGGAAGTGCAGAGTCCTGCACGTGGGGAGGAATAACCTTATGCCCAGTACAGTTTGGGAGCTGACCTGTTGGAAAGCAGCTCTGCAGAGAAGGACCTGGGAGTCCTGGGGCTCCATGAGGCAGCAGGATGCCCTTGGGGACAAGAAGGCTGTCCTGGGGTGCATTAGGATTAGGGTGCATTAGGTGTTGCCAGCAGGTGGAGGGAGGTGATCCTGCCCCTCTCCTCAGCCCTGATGAGGCCTCACCTGGAGTACTGTGTCCAATTGTGGGCTCCCCAGTACAAGAGAGACATGGCACTACTGGGGAGAGTCCAGCGGAGGACTACAAAGATGATGAGGGGCCTGGAGCATCTTTCCTATGAAGAAAGACTGCGAGAGCTGGGCCTGTTCAGCCTGGAGAAGAGAAGACTGAGAGGGGAATCTCATTAATGTCTACAAATATCTGAAGAGGGGGTGTCGAGAGGATGGGGCCAGGCTCTTCTCGGTGGTGCCCAGTGACAGGACAAGAGGCAATGGGCAGAAACTGAACCACAGGCAGTTCCATCTGAACCTGAGGAAAAGCTTCTTTCCTGTGAGGGTGACAGAGCACTGGAAGAGGTTGCCCAGAGAGGTTGTGGAGTCTCCTTGCCTGGAGATATTCAGAAGCCATCTGAGCAGGGTCCTGGACTACGTGCTCTAGAGGACCCTGCTTGAGCAGGGGGGTTGGACTAGGCGATCTCCAGAGGTCCCTTCCAACCTCAGCTGTACTGTGATTCTGTGAAAACTTCATCTGAAGATATAAATCCATCCTAGCATCTTTGTTGTTGATATTATGGGATATATGAGTGATAGGGTTTGAAATTCTGTGAAGGGAACTTTCATATGAGCACAGTGCAACCTAGGTATCCAGAAAGAGCAGGTGAAAATATTCTTCCTAAGGAGAAGCACCCTTTCAATCCAAAGTGGTAGCTCCAAAACCATTCTTTGTTGTCTTGAATCTGTCCGTCCTGACCCTCAGTTTCCTTTCCCAAGATAGGTATCAGCTGTGGCATTGACCTTCAGTCCAGAAGACCTGCATCAGTGGTATTCAATACCCTCTTGAGCAGCTGCAGTGATGCCTTTATCCTAAAAGCTCAAGTATAACTTACGGATTTTACCTAAAGTATCTTTTTTAGCTGTGTCTTCAGAATTGCTGCAAGTTTCCGGCATATTCTTCTAAACCAGGAGCTTCTGTTTGTCCAGCTTTATCTGTTAAGAGCTTAGAACATGGTTTGCTTTGCGTATATCCACCTATATTACCTATGAAATAGTATTTGCCACACAACTTGAACCATTGTGCGCTTTCCAAAGTGCGCTACTCATGTCGTGATAAAACTATGTTGTTTGAATAGCTTAATAACCCATGCTCTAAACGTTCTTGGAAGGAAATTATTTAGTAGCAATGACTTCCTCTCCAAAAAATGAATGTTTATGTTTCAGGTGACTTGCTTTCCATCTAAAATTTCTTACCGGAGGGAGAAATGACCCTCATGATTTGCCAGAGTTTACTTTTTCCACTATGTGTGATTTCTACATGCAGTTCATAAGCTTAGTCTGCTAAGCTTGCTTTTCTTGCCACTCTTCCCGTTGTGGCTATTCCCACGTCCACTCTGCATGATTTTCACATTGTAATTTCCATGGTGTTCTGTTCGGAGTGCAGTAAGGTAATTAGAACCTTAAGGTAGACCTCTGCTTAGTTTTGTCCCAAATCCTTTGCTGCTGCTATTAACAGTTTATATTAACAATATTGTTAGTGAATGGCCCGTCTGATTTTAGAGCTAAAGGGTCATTTTTCATTTTTCTTAAAACAAACAAACAAAATCCTTAATTCACATCAGTCACACCATTTCTCAGACCTGCACATGGAGTGAAATGTTAGGTTAATCCACAGGGCTTGCTGCAAAAGCCAGGGAACAGTCACTGCCAGCTTCTACTGCTGTTTTCTTACGACCTGTTCCTCCCTTATTTAGATTATTTGTGTTTTCAGAAAGTGTTACTGTTTCCATGTGTATCCTGTAGAAATATGATGTTCAGAGAAAAAGCATGGCCTTGTAATTTTTAATAAACTTTATACATTTTGGCATTGTTTGTACTGTATATGTTAATGCTAATAATGTAGTTCCTAAAAAGGCATCCTGTGAGAATCTCTCTTGAGAATGTCCTGTCTGTTGAGATAATGAATTATCTACTGAATTGCAAGGTATTTAATTCAACTTGTGTTTTTATTCAGAACTGAGGAATTTTGCTGTTGTCTATATTATACTGCAGTTCCATACCCTTTAGAAATTCAATGATTCTTCACTTTGCCAGGGTGGTTCTTGAGATATGGAGTGAGAATGCTTTGGAGGAATAAGGCTGACTTATTCTGAAAAACAGAGTTCTAGGGAAAACACGTCTTTTCCACTCCCTTTTTATAGTTTGATTCTCCACTGTAAGTTGAAGTGGTCTTAGTTGTACATTTTCTGGTTACTTCAAAGTTCAAGGCTACAGTCAGTGCCCCGTTATCTAGCTAAGTGGAGATGGGAAACTGTGGGTGTCCCAAGTAATGGATAAGTTCTGGTAGTGCTATTACTTCAGACTGCAGAGTGATTCCCATGTTGGTTGTTCCCTGGTTGTCCCCTTAGGACTTGCAGTTTCAGGATATTTATTAATATTAGCTTGACGCTATGAAAAAAGAACAGATCTGAAAGATGGATAGCATTATCCATAAGCTATCTAGCTGCATTTATTTGTTTGCTGTGCTTAGACTGATAAACCTGCCAGAACCTGAGCTGACCTGTGCTGAGTTCAGTTTAGGAAGGATTGGTGTCTACCTATTTTAAACTAGAAGACCTACTGAAATGAGAAATTACTTGTTTTAGAGGATCACTTGGGTTCTGCCTTCACGGATGTGGTAAGACCGTCGTACAGCTACACTCTCGCAAGTGGATCTACTGCTATGGCATTGCGCTGGAGCAGAGTGCTCTGCAAGGTCTGAGCTTACTGGGCAAAAGCTGTAAGGTGTGGTCTAATGATAACCTCCACCAGCAAAAGTACTATCTTCTTAAGTGTGTAAATACAATACAGAATACAAAGTCATTACACTTGCTTTGCTGTTTCTTATTTTTTTTATGTTAATTGGTATTTATTCAAATGTACCGTCATATGGTTTGAGAGGTAGATGGCACTATGGTTACAGAAATTCTCTCATTTTATACACTGAGGTTTACTGTATTAATACCAAGATTCAGTAAACTGCTGCTGTTTAAGAAAAAGTTGTTTTGCTATTTTTCAAAAAGAAAATTATTAGTAGTATTATTTAGATAACTAGAGCTTTTCCAAATACTTGAGTTGGAATTTATTGTTAACTTCTAGTCAGGAAGTCATGTAATAAAATACTTTGCCCAATACTGTTTCTTTGAAGAAAAGAAATGAGATAAATAGTTTGTTTTCAACTGGTTGCATGGAATTGTGCTTATGGGCATGGGAACAGTTCCAAAAGCATGCAATTCTATAGTGTATCACTGTTCTAGCAGCTTTCATGAGGTTTCTTTACAAGATCTGTCCTTGTGTAATTTTTTTCCTGGTGAAAGTTTAACTGTGGTGTACTCTGTGAAAGTTAGAACCTGGCTATCCATTTTTTTGAAAGCTCTGTTCTTTTGAAAAGCCTCCAACTTAAGGAAAAGGAGTAATTGCTTGCTGTAGGTTCATTTCCAAAGACTTTGCTACTTTGTACAAACATGGCTCAAGCAAATTATCTCAGTATCTTAATAACATATAGTACGTCTTGTAGCATCCGCTGTGCAGGCTGAATGCTGCAAGCAGTATGGTGCTGACCTGCTCAAAACTACTGTTCTAATAAATTCCGGAATGGGATTGTGCTGTGTGCTTTATTCGGAAGATCTGACTACGTACAGATTTCCTACTATTGATTGTAGCACAGCACTTGACTTCAAGAGCATTCAGGAAAGATATTGTAAACTGTTTTCTGAATGATGAGACCTACTTGCATGATATGCAGAGTTCAATTTTGTAAGTTTGAAATATGTTTTTCTGCAATTGTACAAAACTAAGCTTTTTTTTATTTTCCAATATAATTTTTGTTTCTTTTTAATTACGAATGTTCTTGTTTTCAGTCTGTAGAAGCTGCCTAGTGAAGTATTTGGAGGAAAACAACACCTGTCCAACATGTAGAATTGTTATACATCAGAGCCATCCATTACAGTATATTGGGTAAGTATGGAAGTAAAAACACGACTGGCTTCACTCTTGATTGTGTAAAATCAAGTACAGCACAGCTAGTACAGCACAGCTTTCCCCTAGATTTTCCTACTTGTTATCAGTATGTTAGGGCATTTAAAAAGAAGCTTGAACAGAAAATAGGATTTATGTAAAGGAGAGAAGAGGCTGAACTTTTCTATGAATTTGCAGCTCCTTAAGATCTGTTATGCTTACCATACTAAGAGCATGCCAAGTATGCACTTAAATGTTCAATTTTTGGGTGAAGCTTAATGGGATTTAGTGGCTTCTGGTTTTGTATGCCCGCATCACGAAGGTTACATATATGAAAGATTTGTACGAAGTACACTTTTACTAAATTATGAAAACAAATGACTGTCAATTGAGCAGTGGTTTTCACTGCGTAATAGAGAAAAATAACTCTTAGGATTATTTTGTTAAACTTCTGATGGACCATTTAGTTCCGAGGTACAGATAAGGACACTGGCAGTAAAAACATTAGACCAGTGCCTTTCCTCTGTAGAATATAACAATCTGTGGAGGACTTGGGCTTTTTTTCATCTTCACCCCTACGTGGAGCTTCCTCACTTTGTGATATAACATGAATTTGGTATTGTCCATCTATTTCCTCCTTTTTTTCCTCCTTTTTTTTTTTAATTTGTTTTGCAAAAGGTCTTTCTCCAGCGCTTTCCTTTCTATTTGCGTATTTCTAAGGCATCCATCAGATGATTGTACCTCCTGACTTGGCTGAATCTACACTAGAGATCTGAACCATAGAAACTTTTCCTGATGGAGGAGTGTTGTGACTGCATTCACACTGGCTGCTGCATATCAAGTAGTCTTTTCCCTACCTTCATGAAAAGTTTGCTTTGGTTTGTGGCACAGCTTTCAGTGTGCATCATGTACATCAGTTCTCTCCTAACTCTTGGAACAGTGCTAGCAGAAAATGAATCTCATTTCTCTTTTTGCTTTCACTGGGAAATGTTGATGTCCTAAAAACAATTTCTGAATTGCTCAAAACTGATTCTCATTCAGGGGCCTGAAACTCGTTATGCTGTTTCTATAGCTTCCAAGAACAGTGATATACTCTTATGAAAGCATGTGAAGTGTACGCTTTGAAAGGAAAAGTAGATGTCAGAAGGCAAGAAGGAACAAGTGGCAGTTAAGATAGCATCTTTATTCCCTTTAAAACTCCAGGAACACATCTATGCCTTGGCTCAGAAGTTTGAGGCCAGGAAATGTAGTCTCACATTGAGTACAGCAAGGGAATTTGGCAGTTGTTTGTGGTTACTGAATGCCTGTCATCCTTCCTGTTAAAAATTGATCCCCTTCTTAATTTAAATTCTCTGCTCTCCTTCAAAAATAAAAATGTTCCTCAGAGGAAGTATTTTTTCTGAACTACTTACAAAATGCTTCCCTTTAAGATTGAAATGGCTTTTGTCCAGCCTGTTTTTGGAAACTTTTTTTTTCTTTTCTTTTAGAATACGGAATTGATAGTAAGGAGTTTTATAATATATCCTAGAACATAGATTTGCACTCCAGTTCATCTCTGTCCATCTGGGTGTTAGGTAAAGTGAGGACCTCTCCTGTTTCACATCTGTGAATGTGGTTCTCACCTGTGATCTCGTAGTGGCAACTGGCTGACTCATTTATTTTGAAATGTTTTTGGAGATGTTCCTGCAATCAGTCCTTGATGCTTGAAAAACCCAGCCTGTGCAAATGAGATTGCTACCTCTTGAAATTATATGAATTTTAGAAGTACTGATATTTTGATTCTTCTTGTAGTGCTACTTAAAAGAGAGCAATGATTGGTTGTAAACCTCTAATCTGTCACTGTTTCTATGGCGGTTCACTGGTCTCCACTGCTGCAAAGTCCTCGTCTCAGTTGATGAGGAACCTGACTACTCTTGTAAACCTGCTCTCCTGCTTAGGAGTCAGATCCAGTATTTGATATTGCGAGCTCTGTTTGGGTTAATGCCCTCGCAGCAGCTGAGACTGATGTTTAAATTGTTCCTGAATTTATTTTTAAATTGGAATTTAAGGTAATGTTTTTGTTTTGTTCAGTGACTTATTGTAGACTAATCTAGAAATTGCAGCAGTGTAGGTCAATGTTGGTTGAAAACAGTTTTATCCAGTTGAGCTGTGGATCAAAGTGTAGAACCAAACCTGCTTCCCCTCTAATTCCTGCCGTATGTGGGATTGGTCGATCTCTTTTGTCTGGACTATGTTACCTCTCTAGGCTTCTGAGCTATGTAACGTTACTCATGGATAAAATGTTGACTTAAGGGTCTCTTTCTGTGGGCTGTTTTCTTGCATTTTTTTTGGAGGGGAAAAAAACCAAACCAAACCAAAACCCAGTAAGGGTAACTAAATAGCCTGGAAATGTGAGAGATTGGTCTGAAGGGGTGAGAAAAAGTCTACCCTTGATTCTTTTGTACTAAAAATGCCTTTATGTCAAAGTTGTCAAGGAATTTTGAGGTTGCGCCTTGATGCGGTGGGATGCCATCCGCTGCATAGTCAACACCATTCTTCATGCTTCCATTGGGTTTCTGTCAGTTGCTGTCTTAGCCTAAACATTACTTGAATTACTTTCTTGTTACTGTCCTCTCTTGTTTGATATAAATATTGATTTGAGAATTGAAATGTTTCTGACAAGAATTTAGAGTTTTGCGGCCAATTTCATATTAGAATGCATTTAAGTGAAATGTCTTGAATGAAGATGGTTTATTTAAACTTCTGATTCTGTTTTTTCCTGCTAGTCATGACAGAACAATGCAGGATATTGTTTACAAACTTGTACCAGGCCTCCAAGAAGGTAAGTTGTGGTATGATCTATTTTAGTAAATGCAGATTTGCTTTTTTAACATTAAAAAAAGCTTGAGGTGATGAAGATACAGGAGTGTGTGTGGTGAGAGGGGACTGAGAAGAGTACAGTGGAAAGCCTGCCTATATTTGTTCCATTTCTGGTATTACTTTTTCTCTATTTTTGAGAGATTAATTTTAGAACAGTACTAGAAGTATTCTTTTTGTAGGAAAAAATGAATGAAAAAATGCTAGCGATGTCTCGGGGAACAGTATATTTACATAAAGTAGAATAGCAGTTCACCTTTTACGTGTTGGCATACTATACCTCTCTTATGTTCTTATTAAATTGTGAGCTTAAACCGACTGTGCCAGCTTTCCAGAAATATCAGCGATAGAATGTAATTTAGAACAACCTTTAGTTTCAGTGAAGCTTTCTTCTAATACATGAGCCCATTGATAGCAGGTAACTTGAAATTTGTGTTTTCATAATCCTCTTTGAGACTAGATCTGTTCAGTGAAAGAAATGCCTTACAGTAACTGCTCAATAACTCGTTTCCCCTCTTGTGTTACAGCTTTCATTTAAATGGACTTTTTTAATCTAGTTAAGCTACAAAAGCAGAACATTCTCAAATATCAGTAAGGAAGCTTAAAAGAAGTAGTATTTACGAATTATTTCTAGCATACTGAAAATCAGAACTAGGATTGAAAATTCAAAACCATTGAATTTTGCATGTTGTGTGACCAGTATTGTATGACTGCAACATTGGAGGGGTTTCTTAGAATATGGTATAGCATTTAATGTCTTATCTCACCTATGCCAATAGAAATGGTATAACAGTAGCTACACATATGATTTGGTAGTATTCTACTGCTAGAGAGAGAATACTAACTGCTAGGGAGAATAGTAACAGTATTCTACTGTTATTTCTGGCATGACTTGATACAACAGCAGAGATAGAGAAGCAGTAAATAATGTTAGTAGTACTTCTTGCCGACAAACCTGTTCTACTTGACAAGGAAGAGATGTGGAATGACTTCATAAATATTGCAATAGAACTTTATTCCAGAGATTAATGTTTACAATTTTAAATAGCGGAAATGAAAAAGCAGAGGGAGTTCTACCACAAACTGGGCATGGAAGTACCAGGGGACGTCAAAGGGGAGACATGTTCTGCAAAGCAGCATCTGGATTCCCATCGGAATGGTAAATGGTCTTTTGTTTTTTCTGTCGTGGATGGTGAGTTGTTAGTAGATTGCTGAAAGGATCTGTCAGAGGTATGCATCTAATTGATTTATAACAATCGTAATTGTTTTATAGCACTGTAGCATTGTAAGGTACAGTGGGTGTGAAATTGTTACTTTGCCTCTTATTTGTTCACAGAATCTTTCTTTTTAGCTGTCAGTAGGATGTTACTCCTGATGAAGAACATTTCCATACTAGCGCCTACGTGGGAACTCGTTTCACCCAGCTTTTAGGTGGCTGGCAGTTGACTGTACTGAAGGCTGTGCGCTATACTTGTTGCTGTCTTTCATGTGTGGGGCTGGGGCTGACTAAGCAGATAACCACGATTTGGGAAAAGAAGAAGTTATTCTATATTCCGGTCCTCAGTGGTGCTGTTTAAATCATATTAGCTTTAGGAGCTGCTGATTTTGGGTGTTATGCCACATATCTGCTTTCTTCTATAAGGTGAAACTAAAACAGATGAAAATTCAAACAAAGAAACGTCAGAGGAAAAACAGGAAGAAGATAATGACTATCACCGAAGTGATGAACAGGTGGGCTCATAGGGCGTTTTTTAGTTTTATCTTGTATTTTAGCTTTAGTTCTGTGATACCTTACTGAAGATGAATAACTGTTGAAGGATTTTTTTTTTCCTTTTTTCTGATATAATCAATATAAAATGTTCCCCCTTGCTTTTGTGTAGACGTGAGTTTTATCTTGTGAGTTTTGGCAGGAGCGAAGAATATTTTTTGAGATGTTTTCATTAAGATTTGGTAGTTCTGTTTCTCTGAGTTTCTGAAGTATTGGCAAGTCTCTTGTTCAGTTCAACATAAATTCAAATTACTTGGGGCCTGTTTCTGAAGGAGTGTATTCTTTTGCTATTCTAACACACTAAATTGAATGTAATTCATGAATAAAGCTTTTTATACTTTTGCTAAATTACTATTTATCTTATTTTAAACCTCTGATGCTAAGACAGCATTAGCCCTCCACCACAAGCCTAATATCAAAACCAGGAAATCCAGCACAAAGTTTTAACTGCAAATTATATTTGAAAATAAAATCTGCAGTTGGGATAAACAGGGCACCATATTTATATATCCCTGTATGCAGAGTAAATTAAACCTAGATTAATTTTCCCTTCATTGATGGGGTAAGGCAGCTTTCAAAGGGACTTTTAAACAGGAGTTAAGTATTTAAATGTATTACTGGATTTAGCAGTTGCAGTAAAAGCAAGAGGTTATATTAGAAGCAGTCATTAAAAATGTGTTAATGATTTGCTCTTCCACATCTTACTCTGGCTCCTCCTGAGCTAGTTGTAACCTGTGAAGCTGGACTGGAGCAGTCTTGTTCCCATTCCAGTTCCCTGAATGTTTTTGTCCAAATCCTTCTTGGGTGGAATGATGCTTATTACTAAACTGACAAAATTTTAAGTTTTCTTTAGTGGTACTGCATGCATTTAGTTTTAAGGAATACTAGTCCTCTATGTTTTCAGCTTATTGTGTTGGATTAGTAAAAGCTGCATATGCAATACATAATAAGAACTGCAGAAAATTATATCAGTCACCCCTGACTGTTTGTTTCCCTAAAGGTAAGCATCTGCTTGGAATGCAATAGCAGCAAATTGCGTGGATTGAAGCGAAAATGGATTCGCTGCTCAGCCCAAGCAACAGTCTTGCATCTAAAGAAGTTCATTGCCAAAAAACTTAACCTTTCTTCTTTTAATGAGGTAATATTTTAGTTTTGATAAGTGATTTTGGAAATAAACATCACAGGGAAATGGGTATTATCCTTTTGCAAAGCAGTGTCTTCCAATCTGATTTTATTTTCGGAAAACTGAGGCATGCACCATTTCTTGAATTATATAATACCTGACCATTTTCTTATCCTTTATAAGCTAAGCAGATGAGTTTCACCAAATCAACTGTTGTTTTCCTTCAAATTTATTTTCACTTTTCATTTAGGATTTCTGGTTGTTTTTCCTTTAATTTTCCCTTTCTCCTTCTTGTGCTAAATAGTACAATGAAACTGTAGCTCTTGTTGGTTCTTGGGTTTATAGAGGACTTGCCATTTAGTTGGCAGTTGCATCTTACTGCATCTTTTCGTGTCCAGTTGTAAGTAGTTACACCCAGAGGCTTGGTTATGTGCTTCCATGCATGTTCAAACCGACTCTAGCAAATTGTTTTGTTTGACCACTTCAGTTCAGTTATACCTAACCCTTGCAGAGATTACACACTCCGTGTAGGCCATAGTTAGTAACACTTTAGGTAGTGCTGAAACCCAGCTTACAGGAAAGCAGCACAAATATTTTGTTCTTCTCTGTGCTTGGGGTGCAGTTTAACCTGATGTAGTATCAGCTACTGTCTACCACAGGCAGCGGGTTATCAGATACCTACTTTACCCTTATGTTTCAGGGAATACTTAACTAGTTGCTTCTTGGGAAGAAGTTGTAGTGAAGGTAAAGAAAGAAAGGCAATGCTAGCCTCTGTGCTGCTTCCGTTTCAGGTTCCAAGTTAACACTTAATGGCAAACCTGTGAATGCAGCCTCTGCTTAATACCTTACTGGGTCTTGATCACAAGTCTCTTTGTATCTGGTTTAACTCTGACTGCTGTCTCCCAACCCTAATCTAATTGTCACTAATTTGTCAAATTTCATTAAGATTTTTCATTCACATCAAGTCATCTGCTTTCCAGTCCAGAATGTCAACACTTTCCTGCTCAAACTTTCCAGCTGGCCGTTTGCATCTGTATGGTTCGTCCTTCCTAGCTTCTCTGCACTTCAAACCACTCTGTCTTGTGGTTGGAGTACCTCCCCCAAGCACAGCTAGTCTTCCTGACACAACACTATAACGTATCCTGTCTTGCCATCAGCAGCTGGCTCAGAAGCTGTTGACTCCTAGCTGTGGCTCAGCAGGCAACATACGCGTGATCACTGTTGAAAATGTTCTCCCCTTTTTTTCCCCATCCTTTATATGAGACTTGTGAATTGTGTCTCTGTTCTTTTCATGTTTTCTTTTTTAAAAGCATGTAGGCTTTGGAAAAAGGGCGTTAGTACTGTTTGAGAAGCTAAGTTAAAAAGACCAGTTCATGCGATAGTCTCCAGGTAGGTTTAGTTACAGTCTTTCACCACTTTACGTTGAGGAATCTCTCTCTATCTCTGAGGGGAAAAGAAGGAAAAAAAAAGTCTCCTCTAACATTTGTAATATTATCTGAAATGTATTGTTTCATATACTGCATCCCAGTGAATTAATTATCTCTTTTTTTTTTTTTTTTTTGGTCAGCTGGACATATTATGCAATGAAGAGATTCTTGGCAAAGACCACACACTCAAATTTGTAGTTGTTACTAGATGGAGATTTAAGGTATGACACAGTTGTTCCAGATAAATCATGAAGTGACTAAAGAGCAAGGCTTATTTAAAAAAAGAAAAAAAAAATCATTTGGGCCAATACGACAGTAAATGTAAACTCATTAAAAAAATATATTGTAATAAATATCTAATATAGCATTTTTAAGAACTAGGTATTAATTTTATTTCCAGAGAAACTGAAGGAAAAGGGAATGAAGTGTAATTTGTAAGGGAAAAGGGGACACAGCATCAACTGGGTAGGTAAGGAGTAATTGCTGTACTTGTCTGCTTTAGTTCAGGTTAAGTTAAAAGTGATTAAAAATGGTTTAGCAGATATTTGACTTGCTGGTGGCAGTTTCTTGGAACAGAACCAAAAACCTTTACAGCTGAATAGTAAATAGTTGGGCAGTCATGTTGAGTGTTAATTTATCACACATGTAAAACTGATGACTCTCCTCAAATAGTTTTAAGAATGGATTGTATAGTTGAGCATCTAGGAGGCAAGTCACACCCACAGAACACAGTGTGGATATTTGGGAGTGTGTGAAGAAGGAGTTAATATCCATAATAGATAAGCAACACAACCCAAGCTTCCAGCAGAACGCTGAGGCAGAACTTTGGATGCATACCCAGAAGAGGTACTAATGGAAGTAGGGGTTTTAAAAAGAAGTACAGCATAGAAGTCCATAGTCAGTCCTTGCACTGCAGAGAGGTCACGAGTGAAATCCTACTAGAATCTGTATCATCTATCATTCCTGAATGACTTGGAAAGGGGTTTGGATAGTACAGTGGCGGTTCACTAACAACACTATGGTTATTTAGGATAGCGAAGACAGGTTGATGAAGCACTGAAAGAAGCCTTTAAAATTCTGGGTGACAGGTGTTAATTGGCATCTTTAAATTTGATGTGGGTAAATGTAGAAGGATGCATGCTGAGGAAGACACTAGACTGAACTTTACAGATAAAATGATAGACTCTGAGCTCACTGAACTCTTGAGGCTTCAGAGATGTGAAGGTATGCTCAGTGGTAGAGCTAAAGGAAAAACAAACCAAAGCAAATGCTATGGTTTGTTATTAAAAGAGCAGAGAACTGAACAAGAGCGTTGGGTATGCTTCTGTGGAAATTTACTCTTCGCTTTTTGTCGTGGGAATCTGTGGAGTTGTGAGGCTGATGGAAAAGGGAGCAACTAGAAGCTTCCTTCTGCAGTAAAAGAGATGAAGGACATCAAATGAAAGTGGTAGGTGGGAGGTCCTAAACAAACAAATGGAAGTGATTGTTTACAGGACTCGAGGAATTCCTTAATGCAGGATGTTGTGGATGTTACAGATTTTTACATTCTAAAAAAAAATACCAGTGGATACATGTAGGGAAGAAGAACTGAGTGAAAGCTCTTAAATACAAAGCAGTGCCACATCTGGCTTAGGAAATCTCTGAATCGTTAATGACTGGAGTCTGGGAGTATTCTGCACTATGTGCATGCTATATTGTTATGCTTTTCTCTAGGCGTTTCTGTTTGGCCCTGCTGGGAATGGCTTCCTGAGCTTAACAGTAAGATCCAATATGATTAGTCTTTAGGTGATTGATTGCTGAGACAAAAGAGGAAGGATTGTTCACCTCTTGTCTGAGCTGGGCTGTCTTGGTGAAATTTTAACAGATCAGATAGCTCTTCTGATAGTTTGTGTACATTTTAGTTAGTAAGCAGAGGTTTTGTCTGCTGAATAGATTAATTCTGTTTTTACTTCTTAACCTGTCTGATGTTTCTGTCTTGCAGAAAGCACCTCTACTGCTGCATTACAGACCCAAAATGGACTTGCTGTAAGAGAACTTTATTGTCCTTCTGGACAGAGTTTTTTGCAGAGACTATCATCTGGCACCTTCTTAGTGCATCACTAGTCACATGACACAAACCAGCTGAATAATTTTGGAAGACTATAGTGCTTTCATAGAGGACTGTCCTTCTGAATATGTCTTCTAGAGATGCGTTACCTGGATTGCTAGACAGAAAATATTTATACTTTTTTGTACGAAAGAAATAAATCACGACTCAACAAGACACTACCAGCACTAAGTTTACAGATACTGACAATACTTAACAGTTCCATGTAGCTCAGCCTGATTTGTTTCTTTGCAGCTACACAGAAATAAGTTAAAATGTTGTGCAGTGATTTTAAAATGTTGCTTTTGACACCAAATTGCATTTAGTTATTTTTTCATGTCTTGAAACTTTTAGGAATTTGATCCACTATATTTTTGCAAGATGTTCCTGTCTTTAGTATGACTGATTACATTGGCTTTCATCAAGGTTTTCCTGCAGAGCATTGGCCATACCTAATAATATAGTGAGTGAGTGGTGATATTTATTTTTGCTGCATTGAAAAATTTCTGAAAATCTAGGAATCTCATAACCTGTTACTTTTGCCCAATGATTGCTCTCTTATACTTTGTGTTTTAGTAAAGCTTTGGTATCCCCTTTGCATGCTGATTCGATAAGGTTAATAGAAACAAGCTCAATTGATTTAATGTGCCCTGATATTTTGCTGCGGCATAAATTGCACCACATCACAACAAATACTCAAAAATACTGAATTGGTGAACTCTTAACAATAAACGTGTCTTAAAGAGTGGAGGCTTGCAGAAATCAGTTTTTACTTAAGATATAATTTGCTCTCACTAGGTATTGAAACCGTGGCTGTTGGGCAACACTGGTGATATTGCAGTTTTCACTTCACTGACTGCAAGTTGCTCAGTGGATTGCTGACCAGCTTTGTATTTTTATTTTACCATTTTTCTAATAAAACCACAACATTTTCTTTAGTGCAATTACTAACTATATTGGTCAGACTACATTATAGTAGCGCCTTCTGGCCTTAATTGTTAAATTTGCTTGTGTTGGCCCTAATGGATGCAAGCTAACATACGTACGTGTATGTGTTCGTATATGTGTGTGTGTAAATATGTATACACACATATATCTATATTTGTTACAGAACCCACCCTCAGTAGTGCTTAGCAGGGTTCACTGCACTGTTTGAAAGCTTTTTGAAATAGCTTTTTAAAAGCTAGAATAATTGAAAGTGATTTCTGCAAGCTGTATACTGTATAGCATATATAGTATGGATGTGAGTGAATTTGTCTGGCACAGGGGTCAAGTCACTGAAAATAGGCTATGCAGTGTTTTTGGCAGCTGGAAGTTATTAACCCTCTTACTTTTGAAAGTGCTTTCCCGTCAGCTAAAAATGCTGGTTTCTATATATATATTACTTAAACTCTGTTATTGTTTGATAAAATATCTTTGGATAAAAAAATCAGTTTGCCTGTTAACACTGCTTCCTCCAGCTGTGTTTCTTCCCCTCTTCCACAAGAAAGTATTACTTAAAATATTACTTGACAACAGGAAGCTGATCCTACCGAAGGTTTATCCAAGCATTGTAAGTCCTCTTACCTCTTCTCGCGTTTTCAAAGCACCTCATTCCTCAGCATGTCTCCCACACTATCCTTCTGTAGAATCTTCAGTCCTCCTTTCCTAGCTCTGCTGCTGCTGGAGGGATGCTCCAGCTTCTGTTGTTTATCTTTGAAAACAGGTTCCTTATTTTTATTTATAATCACAGATATGAATGGGAGGAAATCACAAGGAATGCAAGCAGAGAAAGAAACAGAGCCTTCTGCACTATGGGGATGGAAAGGAGGCCGCACTAAGGCCAAAAAGGGCTGCTGTCTCTGTAAATGAGGACTTGAGATAGCCACGTTTGACTGTCTGGGTTAAGCAGAACTTTTCCACATCGAGACCTTGTGTGTGTGTGTGTGTGCGTGTGTATCTCTATATGTGTCTGTGTGTGTCTGCGCACGCATGTGTATGAGCAGTGGAATTAAAACTTGGCTCTGGTTTTGCCTTACTGTGTCAGGACTCACTTACCTACATTTGAGCTTTTATCTGTAGTTAGCATTAATTGAAGTGGTAGAAGACGACAGGTGACATAACAGGAGTCTTCATTTTTTTCTAATATTTTCTTAAAGCAGTGAATACAGGTGGTATGGATGAGTGTATGAATTGACATGCTGGGCCTTTCTAGAGCTGTTCATGTGGTTATCACTGTCCCAGTGTAAATAGGGATTGATTGTAGCCAGTGAGGCCCAAAGAATGCGAACATGGCTTTAAATGTCCATCCTCTGTGCGCCCTGAGCATACAGACACTGGCTTTATCTGATGTAGACATAGAATTCAAGCCCACAGACAGCATCCTGATTAAGGTGGTTCAGCTACAGTCTAAGGGTTGAATAAAAACATAAATACATAAATATATGTATACACATATGTGTATATACATATATATACATATACATGATCTGTCTACCTCAGAATGTGTAATGCAGAAACTTTTTCTAAGATCAGACATAGATGGAGTGCTCTTGAAGTATGTTGAGGTTTTAGTGTTTTCCTGTGCAGTTGTACAATTGAGAACACGCAAATTCAGAAGGCCCTCTGCCTTTCAAAACTTAGCCTTGCTGTAACAATCTACAGTACAAAATATATATTTGTAAGTTTGTAACCATCTTTGGAATCACTTGAATTTGTTATGGTGCTATAAATATATATTGAAAACTGATACCTATATAGATACATAAATTGAAGCCAGTATTAATATCTGTAACTGGTTTTTGCTCATAATCTGCTTTTGCGATGTGTTTAACCTGATAAAACTTCAGAGGTTTAAAAAACAAACAAACCA